GATTTTTTTTAAATGATGATGAAATCAGATCAGACCTATTGTCATGTTTAATCCCAGTGAGAGTCAAGTTGGGAATTGATAGTTTCTTTTCTTTTCTTTTTTTTTTTTTTAACAGAAGATCAGTTTAGTGTACATTAAGTAAAGATTTCTGTTGAATAGTATTTCATTGGGTAGATGGAGCCGAGTTTCTTTTCTTAAAGATATATTTTATTTATTTGAAAGTCAGAGTTACAGAGAGAGCCATCTTCCTTTCACTCTCCGGGTGACTTCAATTGCTAGGTCTTGCCAGGCTGAAGCCAGGAGCCGGGAACTCCATCAAGGCCTCCCAAGTGGGTGGCAGGAGATCAAGTACTTGAGCCATCTTCCACTGCTCTCCCAGGCACATCATCAGGGAGCTGGATCGGAAGTGGAGCAGCCAGGACTTGAGCTGGCATCCACATGAGATGCTTGCATATCAGACAATGGCTTAATCCACTATGCCACAATGCTGGTCTCAGCCAGAGTCATTGTTGACTAGTATCCCAGTTTGCTTAGAGCTTAGCTCTTGATGGATGTTTTTGGTTGTTTCCAGCTTTTGGTTATTACGAATGGTTATTTACTGTTGCTTCCACATGTAAATCTTTGTGTGGTCATATCTTCTCAGTTTTCTTTAGTAAATACCTAAGAATGTCCTGACTAGGTCCCCCAAAAGGTAGTTGTTTCGTTGTTTTAAACACTCTCCAAGCTGTTTCTCAAAGTGGTTGTGCCATTTTACATCCCTGTCAGTAGGTGTATGAGAGCTCCAGTTGCATTGCCTCGATAGTTACATCTGGCATATTCAACTTTTAAATCAGGGTGTACTTCCTTGTTTTGACTCCCAGCATTTATTTTTGTTTTTTATTTTGACCGCATTTTGTAACATCCTGATTGCTTTGAATAGAACAACATAATTATTTATCATTAGTGGTATTGGTACACTTTGATCAATGTTCTTGGAAACTTAAAATATGCAATGCAGGGTGGGAATCCGGCCTTGCAGCTCAGGCACCGGCTGGATGCCCACATCCCACTTTGCAGTGCTTTGGTTTGAGTTCCAGCGCTGCTCCCAGTTCCAGCTTCCTGATAGTAGGCATCCTGGGAGGCAACAAGTGGTGTCTCAAGTGGTTCAGTTCCTGCTACCCGTGTGGGAGACCTGGATTAGTTCCGTGGCTTGGCCCAGTCCTAGCCATTGTGGGCATTTGCAGAGTGAACCCCCAGATGGGAGTTCTTTGTCTTTCTCCATCTCTGAAATTAAAACAAAAACACAAGCACCTATCTTCAAAATAAACAGAATTTATTAAAAATTAAATATATATTATTTCTATGCATCTAACAGTACTCATTTTTTCCTTTTGTCTTCTTCTTGCTGAAGTTATTTTCAACAATATCCATTTTTTCTTTTATATCTACATTGATGGGTTTATCTATTGATTATTTTTTGCTCATGTAAATCTTTTAGTCTGCTTATTTTATTTCTTGGCCAACCTGTGAATGAAAGGAAAAGGAAAGCAACAGAGATGCACAGTAAGAGCAGTCAAGACAGGCCCGAGGGGAAGAGACTGAGCAGCTGGGAGAGGGGTCAGGCGGCTTGGTGCACTGACTGTTAGTGTTGGAGCACACAGGAGCCCGAGCTCTTCAGGGGGTAACAGTAATCATCTGACGAACAGGGCCTGCTCATCACGGAGGCTCAAACACCAAGTCAATTATGACCTGCTATCTTATCATGGGAGGTTGTAAGATGCGTGTTTGTGTGTGGAGGGGTGGGGTGGGTAGATCTTCCAAAAATCTATGCATGCTCAGGGATTTACATTGCCAATAAAATTGTGTGATACCACAATCTCAAATATTTCAAATTACATTGTAAGTTTGAAGAAATTATATTAAAATGCTGGCCGAGTTTATCTGTGCATGGTGGGTCAATGATCAATGATTATTTTTTTCTTATTTTACCATCTGTAGAAATAGCATATATTACTTCTGTAATTAACAAGTACAAGGGAAAATACCTAGTGTTCAGCAAAAGCATATTAGAGAGGTATCTACAGTTACACACACACACACACACACACACACCCCATGCATATGTCTATTTGGTAAAATGACTGAAAGAAAACATGACTAAAATATTAACAATGTTTTTCTCATGATGGGAAGATTATGGGTGATTCACTTCAACAAAGAACGTGTATTTTATCACGAGAAACAAAGAGTACCAGTTAACGGTGCCTGGTTCCCATTGCCTTCAGGATACAATCTAATCGTTTTCCTGCTGCCTTCACACTTCTCCCCTTTGTGTTGGCCCTGCCTGCTCTCTCAGCTCCTCCCCAGACCACCCTGCACTGAGCAGCTGGTTCTCCTCTACTAACAGTTGTGGTGCTGTGATGGCTATCGGTGGACTCAATGTTTCCAACCAGAATACTAACTTCTTAGCCCTACTTGTTTAGCAAAGGACTTTCCATCAGCACCCGGATACCTTGATCCCAGCTGCTCTACTGCCATTCACTTTGGGAACCAATCCCTGAAGGTAGCATCGGCTCCCACAGGCAAAGGACTTGGTCCCCCGCGAGACTACCCTCACTTCACGCACCAGCCACACTCTGATCAACAGACTGAGGCTCACAGGGATGAGATGCAAAACTTGGGACAGCCTTGTACTTGTAGTCACCGTTTCCTATAAAAACACACGTTAGACCCACCTAGATGACGAGACTCACAGCAAGGTCTGGGAGGGTGGCAGGCACGGGGCTTCCCTGCCCTCTCCCTGTGGAGTGTCTGTGTCACTCCCCCTGTACACGGATTGTTGTTCACTGAGCAGGAAGTCCCATGAAGCGTGGGGGCCTGAGTATTCACTGGGGTTCTGTTGCCAAGGCAATGATTGTGATGGGGCTGAGAACACATTACACCAAAATATGGCACTCTGACCCACTGATCATTTTAAGCTGAAGGAATCTGAGAAAACCGCAGGAGCAGGGATTTCTCTTGACCTTCTTCCATCCCTTCCTCTGGAAGTCGTCATAAAGCCTAGGAGGGACTTTCTCGCCTTTCCTGAGTCAGGTCATGAGAGCCCCCATATCCAGAGGAAAGGAACAGCCTACCCTGAAGACAAAGATCTGAACAAACAGGCCTTGCTGTTTCCCCAAGTTCATTGCCTTTTGCACAGCTTTCCATATTTCATTAAACCTACTATAACAAAAACACTGAGGTTTAACCACTCCTTTGAGCTTTCATTAACTCATGAATACCTATGTCACATAGCATTTATTAAATAAATGTGCATGCTTTTTCTCCTATTTATACGTCTCTGCTCATTTGATTTGGAGACCCATCTGGACACTCTCAGGGTGAGCAAGTCCTTTTCTCCCTCATAATTGATCAGGTCATTGACCAAATGACTTCAGCTTCACTGCCCTACAGGCTGAGAGAGTCAGTTTGACACCGTGTGGTTTAGAGCATCGATTTTCTAACTATGAAATTTGTCTTTCTGGTGAGTAACCTGTTTTTTTTTTTTAATATTTGTTTTATTTATTTGAAAGGGGGAGTACAGAAAAGATGAAGAAGCAGAGAAAAAGAGATCTTCCATCTGGATGATTCACTCCCCAAACGGCCACAATGGTCAGGGCTGGGCCAGGCTGAAGCCAGGAGCCTGGAACACCATCTAGGTCTCCCATGTGGGTGGCAGGGGCCCAAGCACTTGGGTTATCTTCTGCTGCCTTCCCAGGTGCATTAGCAGGGAGCTGGGTGGGAAATGGAGCAGCCAGGACAAGAACTGGTGTTCACAGGGATCTGGCGTCACAGGCAGTGGTTTAACTTGCTTCACCACAACATCGGCCCTGAGTAGCCCCATCTGTAGTCATCTTGTCAGCACAAACTCAGACACGATCCCAGGGACTCATGAGTAAGAAAGATATTCCCACCTCTGAAGATGGCCCAAGGGTTTTGGAAGATCCATTTCAGGAGCCAGGGGCAAAAAAGACCAAACATATTGTTTATTATTGTTTATTATGCATAAGTTCAGATCCTCCCCACCTCTTGTCCTCCTCAGCGGCCCCTGGTCCCAGTCAGATTCCACCTCTCTCTTGCACACACCAGTGCTTCGCACTCCCCACGTTCTACTATTCATTGCCCTAGTCATGCACACACCCTTCTTCTCTAAGTAACAAGCTGCTTGGAGCAGAATGCATGATTTATCAAGCTCTCCAGCCCCCCCTTGCCCACACAGTGGCCCTGGGCTTTGTTTTTAAGGGAGTTAATTAGGAGTCTTCATTTCCTGCAGAAGGCTTCTGCTGCTTTCAAATCCATGTCACCACCTTTTGTGCTGACTTATTCTGTTCTAGTGACGCCGTGAGCAGTAACCAAAACCATTGCCGTCATCTTCTGGGGACTCCCTGTGGATGGTTTTAAAAATCATACTTCATTGACTATGAAGTTAGATATGCAGTCAAATGTTTTTAACCAACGTGGCAGAAGCAGTTCTTTTGTTCCTTTTGAAGGGAACAGCTTCACAAACGGCATCACTGTTTTGAGCTTTCTCTTAATTCTCCAATCTCAAGTAGGCTATCATTTAAGTGTCTTGGATGAATTCTTAGATTTCTCGCAACGAATCACTAGTTTTGCTGTTTTTGTTGTTTATAAAAGGATGTTCTATATAGAGCACGGCCATTCCACGATCAATTCTTTATTTCCTCTCACTGAAAGTCTGATAAGGTTCTGCTTCTTAAATGATAATAAATTTGGACTCAATGGAGTCTCCAGGGAAACCACATTCCTTCTGTAGCTCTCCTAATTGTGTGTGGGGTGATTTGAAGGTGCAGGATTACAAATGGTTTAGTAAGAAGAATGCTAACGTGGAGGGAAGAATTTTGGATTCTGATCCTCAGTTCTATGTAGCTTTATAATCTCAAGGCTCAAATCAGCATATAGTTTTTGAACAACCCATATTATGCTGAGTCCTATGCTAGCCCTCGGAAATACAATTGTAAGCAAGGCAGACTTAGCAGCTTGGAGTCTTGTGAAGCTGACAAACAATGAAAATAACTAAAGGTAAAAGTGCAATATTCAACAGTGTTAACTGGCACTCATAACAGGACCCTGCCCTAGCCTTCTGGGCTGTGGAAAGTGCATGAGTTCCTGGAAAACTGCCCTTTTAGCATTCACTTCTCTTTCTTTTTAGAAGAGCATCCTGATTTTTGTTTAGGCAGCCATCTCTTTTCCACTCCCATTATAAGTTGTCCTGGGCCAGAAAAGCAGATCAGGGACTGACAGTGGCTATGAGATTTCTTTTACCACAATTTATAGGGAAGTCATAGGCCAACCATGGAAAATACGCCCTGGATCTCGCATGCGGAGCCTTCCTTATTGAGTGGTGCCTGCCTGGATGGAAGTTTCCACTCAGAAGTGGGGAATGAAGAGCCCACCCAAGCAGGGGGCCCTGGAGGTGGCTCTTAACTTCACGTGGAAAAAAGCAAAACATCGAGAACTCCTCACAAGTTCTACACAAGAAGGGTAACAGTAGAGACTACTCCTATGCAGCACACAGACGATAAACTCCTGGGAATGAAAACCATGAGTCGCTGGTATGTGATCACGAAGTCACAAGAGACTGCAGTCTGGAAAGTGTGTGTGAGGCTGTGGGGAAGCAGGTTCTCAAACATCAGTGGTGGGAGGGTAGTTGGTGTTTGTCTCAAGGAGGGCCGCTTGGCTGCGCTGAGAGTCATGAATGGTATACATTATCTTGTCCCCAGCAATTCCAATTCTAGGATTTTTTCTACAGCAATGTTAGTATGAATGAGTATGAATATATGTGTGTACATATGTGTGAGGGTACATTGAAAATAAAATTAAAAGGTACATTTCATTGCAGTGGAAAAAATTTCTGAAACCCATGAATTTCTAAAAATTTATTTATTTGAAAGACAGGGTGACAGAGAAAGAGAGGGAGAATATAGAGATAGAGAGAGATTTTCCATCTGTTAGTTCACTCCCCAAATGGCTGCAATGGTTGCAGCTGGGCCAGGCCAAAGCCAGGATCCAGGAGCTTCTTGCAAGTCTTCCATGAGGGTGCAGGGACCCAAGCACTTGGGCCATGTTCTGCTGCTTTCCCAGTCACATCAGCAGGGAGGTGGATGGGAAGTGGAGCAGCGATGACTCAAACTGGTGCTCATACATGGGATGCTGACATTGTAGGCAGCAGCTTAACCCTCCGCCCCATAATGCTGGCTCTGTTTTTTTCTTAATAATTTTTTTCTGAACTTTATGAAGACCCCATGTGTGTGCATGCATGTGTGTGCAAACCCACTGATGGTTTTTCACTGCAGCCTTGCTTGTAGTAGCAGAAGATTAGAAATAATCCACATGTCCATCAATAGGGGCCAAAAAATTACATTATGATAGATCTATGCAATGGGTGCTTTATAGATATAAAAGGAATAAGAAAGCTTGTTATATATTGATAGATAACAATCTTTAAGCTGTATTGCTAAATGAAAAAAGTAAGGTAGAATAGGGTATAGATTATGGTTTCATTTGTTTTAAAAGGAGAGCAAAGAAAAAAATATGCATCTGTGTTTGCATCTCTGAAACAACAATAGGGAGTGAGAGTGGGGTTGAGAGGATTGGGGCACACATTTTGGTGTCTGAGTCATGGGACTGTATCATATATTCACAAAATTAAATTGAGATATCTATGTCCAATGGTGCCAAAGTTATAAAAATATGGAATTGTAATTTATATTTGCTCTACCACACACATTTTGGGTAGAGTCCATTTCAAACCATATATGTTCAGGCACACTGAGAGTCTTTCCAGAATTACTTTTGCTTCTTTTTAAAGATTTATTTATTTATTTGAAAAGCAGAATTAGAGAGAGAAAGAAAGAGAGAGACAGAAAGAAAGGCTGGGAGAAAGAGAATCTTCCATTCTCTTGTTTATTTCTCACATGGCTGCAATGGCTGGAGCTGGGCCCATTGGAAGCCAAGGGCTGGGAGTTTCTTCTACATCTCCCACAGGGGTGTGGGGGCCCAAGCACTTGGGCCATCTTCTGCTGTTTCCCCAGATGCATTGGCAGGGAGCTGGATTGGAAGTGAAGTAACCAAGACTTGAACTGGTGCCCATATGGGATGCTACTGCTGCTGCTGGACCCATTAGTTTCTTAAGAACAGTAGTAGCCACTGACTGGCTGCTTTTGTAGCACCTGTAGCAACATCCTTCCACTTTCCCAGAGGGAAGAATTGATGCCAATAAGCTTCTCTTTGAGTATGGACTGTCCAGTTGGAGACCATAAAAGGACTAGGAGTTGGTTTTGTATTGCGTAGCTCAGAGGTTAAGATTCTCTAAGATGCAGTGCTTGACACAACCTGATGGATAGGTATAAGGAAAAGCCAAGCTCAGACTTGGTTTCTCCTCTCTACCCTTGCAGCTTGCTTCTGATGCCAGCTATGTGTAGGGTTTCCTCATATATCAAGCAAACACTTCTTCCCCCTGGACATCAGCGAGTGTCCTCGGATTCAATTCATCTTGACACTACCCACCAGCTTGAGGTCTCAGTGCCATAGACTGCTCCCACTGCCACACTAACATCTGATACCAGCCACAAGCCCCAGGGTTTTTTTGAACCTGTGCTTTTGACCAACTGGCCGTTAACCAGGGTTCTCACAACCTCATGCTTAGATTTGGTTAATTTCCTGGTGCTGTTCACAGAACTAAGGGAATCACTTGTGTTTACAATGAATCCATCACAAAGACTATAACAGGATACAGATGAGCACCAGCTAGGAGGGCTGCGTAGTGCAAGGCTGGGGCAAGCGGCATGAGGCTTCCATGCCTTCTCTAGGCACGCTACTTTG